CTCACGCTGTGATCAGCGGCAGCTGGATGCAATAACTGCATGCCAATGTGCATTGGCTCGTTTAGTTACACTCTAAGTAGATTGGTCTCTCGAAGCGAGATCCCAATTTGTTGGTCACGATGTGACGTCTCCGTTCCCTCCTTCAGAGATCGAGGGTTACATACGTAACCGAGACGTTCACTGTCTCAGTCACAAAATCCTTCCAGTGCACTGGAATGTTCGCTCCTTAAAAAAATCCCACAATGCAGTGCAAAAACCTGGGAGAATCTATGCTCACTATGGTCCTTTATCAGAAAATTTATTTACATTATATACATTTTCAAAAGCGTGAAACATACATTACACGATGCAACTCGACACACATCATGACAAGGGATAGAATTTTTGAAAAGACAAAGCGTGATTTAATTGTATTCCAACATAAACACATTGTTAGACAGTAGTGAACATACTCTGGCTAACATATGGGATATGCAACAAGTATTTTTGTTAATGCACTTTAAACAGCATTAAAAAGCAAGATCCAGCTGTTGAACCATATTGCCTGCATGATGTTAACAGATGATGCAGAATAATATTTGAAATATGTTCTCATAATCTTTCCTGTCATCATCCTCACTGTAATTGTATGTTTTGACCATTGTTTCCTTTTCTCAGATGCTTGGGCTGCTGTGTGCATGTGTGGTCCTTTGCCGCAGAGGTCATGACCCTGACTATGAACTGCTTGTCAGCACGGGTATAGATGCCTGAGTGGTACCGCATGGCATCATGGGAACGGCTGGTCCTCCCAGCCAGTGTACTGTACATATTTCAGCTGAATCAGGCTACCACTTTTCTACAGTAGTATTAAAACCAGTTTCAATACCTTTGTTTGACATAAAATCAAAGCTTCGACAGCTTGAATAGCCTCACACCACTTTAGTTGTGAAGAAAATGTTCCTAAAAGAAGTTTTGAATTGTTTCTTTATTTACAGCACTACTGATATTAGAGTCTGATGAGCAGAAAATTATCATTCAGTTGTTTATTATATTGTAAACATTTTACACTAACTGATTCCATGTGTCATGGTAATGTGATATTATGTGTTATTAAGTGGTTGTTAGACCAAAGACTGAAGTCACTGGTTGACATAGTTCAGATGTTTTCTCTTATTTACAGTACGTGTTGTAGAAGTAATCCCTTTGAGTTATAATGAAGAAGAAAGATTGTTGTGTTTATTTAAATTATTTTCTGACAACTTTCCTTTCTTCCCATTTAGAGCTTATCTTTAGAGAAATATTGTGATACAAAGGGTTTAAACTAAATAATTGATTTTAAATCTAGCAGCAGCATTAAACTTGCAATTAAAAACAAGGTAACATAACACAAAGCATGAATTACGCTATCAGTCAGGTATTTGGCAGTAAAACAATCAAAAGCGTAAGTCTAACAAAATAATTTAGTGTATTTCAAATATAGAACTGAGCCTTTGAAAATTCACTAAAATCTCTGTAATTTCAGTTTATGATAAAAGGGCCTTTTTTCCTGGAAACTGTTATATCTTAAAATGGTTGTGCAATGCCTGGGACCAGGAAAAAATATTTATTTTTAAAAAATGACCTAAAACCAGTACATTTACTTTTCAAATGAACCGTTTAAGCGTTTTTGAAAGTCACTCTAACGGAAGTGGTACTCTTGAAAGGTCACTGACATGAATGCTCAATAATACTCACAATGTTCACTGTAGCATGGAAACACTCATGTTTTCACACATATTTATACATTATTTAATAGATTCATGCTTTTCATTTTTCCCAGCAGAAGTATAACAATGACTAATGCAGAGTACCTACTGTAATGTATGTTGATCTGGGTCAGTTCAATAAATCGAAGAAATTAAAATGATCCATTAAGTGATTGTTTTTTATATATCATATTGCACATTAAGACTCTGTATTAGTTATTCAAGCTCTGTTCATTCAGACATTTTTACTCAGAAAATCAAAAAATAAATAAAAAATATGCATACTTTTAATTTTCATTAATTATAGTTCCTCTAAAAATCAACTGACAAAACAAGCACAAGCTGTCTGAAAACACTTTGAGCATGACTTAAGAAAATTGTTTTTAAACATTTCATTAAAATGGCTTTGATCCATGTATTTATATAAACTCTGCAGGAGGACAATAATAGCAGTGATCAAAATGTCATGGTGTATGGGAGGGTTTGGCTGTCAATAAATTAACTTTAGTTTCTTGTGCATAAGGTGTGTGGTGTGAAAATAAAGAGGGAGACAAGAACTATTTTGTTTTAACCATTTAAATGAAACAAACTTTTGATTGCAATTTATTTTTCAGTGTTTCCATTTACTGTTGAGTATATTTTCCAAAACAGTTTATTGATCTTCAAAAGATCTTCGTTTCCGATGCTGAACTATTATATTGTTCTTTGTGAAACTCACAGACAACATAAACATTGTTTTCAAATGCTTCACAGTGTGACAGAGTGATGAAAATAATATCAATATAGCTTCTAAAAGTGCTGTAAATCTAGGACATCAATACAAGCTCACTAAATGTATAGTCTGTGTTTCACAGTGTAAAGTGATGCATCATCGGGCATTTTTCAAGCAGCATGTTCACACGTTGACCCTTTTTTGACCCTAATTTAAACAACTTATAAACATAGCATACAGAGATATACAGAAAGCTACTACTTTTACATAAACTGTAGACATTATGTTAATTAACTATTTTTAAGTGAAATAAAGGGCTACTTTAATATATTTTAGAATATAAAGTTAACAAGTGAGCTATATATATAACATATGTTTGTATATATATATATACATAATTAGAATTTAAATACACATTTTCATTTTATTAACAACAATTGTTTTGTATTAAATAATCAGACACAACTGACTGAAACATATTCATATATATGCTTTGGTTCTTACCCTGTTCATTAATAACATACAAAATTCAGTTTCTCTGAACAATCTCTGCTCTCCCAACTTTCAGCTGCCAGGTTTCGAGATCCACAGTAAAGGGGACTGGCAGGGCATACTGGCAGCTGGACCAAATTTCCCAGAGACTCCCCACTGACCCAGAACCAGTAGCCTGCCAGGAAGCGCAAACCTGTCCACACGCTGGGGGTTTGCAAGTCTACAGTCTTGTTATTGGCTTGGAAGAGATGCAAACTGGTTGGCAGACAGGCCAAGCCAGAGTGTTGAGTCCTGCAGTGTTCTAAAGCCTCCTCCCAGCTCTTCTTCTCCATTACCAGGATCAGTTCGGGCACCCACTCGTAGCAGAAAAAAGGGTACTGTTGTCCACAATCGTAGTCATACAATTCACCATCTGAACTCTTACCGCAAAAGGCAGTATTTGGGTTGTCCGGTTGACCAGTCCTCCATGTCATAGAAATTTCTTCGCTTCCATCACTCCACACCCATTTGCCATTAGCAGAGGGCTTGCTCAGTCCAACCCAGCTGTGAGTGCTATCAGCTGTCTGATTTTTTGAATCATTTTTGAACCTTAGAAGTTCCTCTTGGCTGTCTATGGTGGACAGGTCGGCATAATTCTCTCTGCAAAACTTCTGAGCATTGCTCCAAGTCTTGGCATTATTAATAAAAATGTGTTTCCTGTTCAAAGTTAAAGTCAGCTCACAATGAGCTGACAGGAAAAGAGCAACCCAGACAATCTTCATCTCTTCTGTGGGAAGCAAGTCAGTAAATACAGTCATAAGGCAGACTCCTTAACTATATAGAAACGCAAATTTGCAATTTGTTAGTCAGCAGCATATGCAAATATTCACTTATGTCATGAACACATAACAAAGACTGTAATGACTAGTCTCACATTGAGATCTTTACTGTGATGCCTTTATACATCAATTTAATTAATAGCTCACAGAAATTAGAAAGAAAGACGCGTGATTGACAATAATGCAAACTTTTTCATATTAGACTGATGTTTTCTCCTTCTCTCCAAAATTCACTGTGCCCAAAATATCACATAAAACAAACAGAGAAAAGGAGTATTAAGAATGACAGAAACTGAAGTTTAGTGTTATATAATGTCATGGAATTGTTAAAAACATGTAAAAGAAATAAACTTATTTAGAGTGATCATTTATTTACATTTTACTATTTTACTATAGCCTTGGTTTAAATTGTGATAGTTCACTTAATGCACATTTATAAAATTTGATATGCTTAAGTTTATAGGTCACATGCAAAGATTATCTTATTTTATATATATATATATATATATATATATATATAAAAC